TTCTTATTTGCTTTCTAACGACTTTAATTATTCAGAAACTGGATTTATATTATCATTTCTGTAGCTTACGAGAGAATAAGCCTATATCGTTTATATAGCAAATGTTTACTGAATCAATAATTCTCGTACTTATACAATCTTTTTATTATTCTCGTAATATTTTTTATTGGTAATTCACTTATAAATAATGAATGTGTATTGTATCTTCTAATCGACTCTGCTTGCTTTCATTATAGTTTTGTACAATATTTTCCAAAAGAAAACTCTGTTTCATACTTTCATGAATTAGATTTTAATAATTAATTTACTGTCGTATACATAATGATAAACCACGTCGTCTATCTAGCAAACATTAACTTAAACAATAACATTAAATTTTTTACTATTATTAATATTATTTATTTATTAATTATTATTTATTTATTAATTATTAATATTATTTATTTATTGATTATTTATTTATTAATAAATATCTTGATGAATACGAAACAGAATATTATTATTTTATCATATTTTACTCTCTTCCATTTTAATCCCACAGAGTATATTCCAAAGCTTTCAACAAGTAATTTTTTTCATAACGCTGTGAATTTAGCGTCGCACACATAGTAATAAATTTTATCGTCTTTTTGGCAATCAGGACAATAATCAATATTGCTCAAATTTTCACAAACTTTGTGGTATCTTAAAGTTACTTTATGGTATCTTAAAGTTAATTCTGCAATGATTATTGAACCAGAGCAGTATTTTCTAGCATGTTCTTGCTTTCATCGTAATAGCCAACAATGTTCGAAGTTCCATGAACTAGATTTCAATAATTTACTCGGTGTCGCTAACATACTAAACCTCCTCGTCAATAATACAAACATAAACTGAATCAACTAAATTCACAATTTCCCATAATTCATGTATCCTATCTAGTTTATATCTACTACAGTACACTCAAATAGCTGTACAAAATTTAGATTCACAGAGTCACAGCTACTCCTCTCAATGTGAAAAGGCTGAGAGCAATAAGGAAGAGTTAATAGCTCTAAGAGGAATTGAGGACGAGGCTATTTAACCTCAAGCACAGCAATCCTTTCCGGAAAATGCCAGATCCCACAAGCGGAATAAATTAATGATAAATCAATCGACTTTTGCATGCAAGGCTTCATTATGGCACGGAGCTTATTAATACAGCCTAGCTTCTGCTTCCAAGTAAATGGATTATGTTGCTTAAATTTACATATTTAAAGAACTGATAACTATTTTAAAATGTGCAATTTATGTTTGTTTTTATGAGTTATTGCCATTTCTTTTATTCCTTTATTATTTATAAGAAAAACTACTGCATAATTAAACCTAACTAAAAGCAGAGATAATTTTTGTTGAAATATGAAAAACTATTAATATTGTATAAAAAGGACTTTAAGTTTAGGGATAAAAAATTTTGGGAAACATATTTCTGATAACTAGTTGAATTTAGGAGACTCCAAAAAATTACAGTAGGAATTGAATTCTGGGGATTTTTTTTTAATGAAATTTAATTAAGATGTACTTTTGTATGTTTTGGATAGATAATAAAAATTTCTTTTTATCAAAAGAAGTCATTTAGGATTTTAAAAAATTTCCCTTTGCTTTACTGAGATTTAAAAAGTTTTTCTTTTTAATTTTTTGAGAAAAAGTTTAAAATAAATGCCTGAGTATTATAACTAAATAAAATTTAAGACTTTAATTATGACAAAATATATTGTAAGAGGAGTACATTTTAAATTTCGGCAAACGATATATCATTTTTTTTAAAGAGAAAGTACTATTTGGAAAGTTGAAACTAAGAAAAAATCCTAGGTACAAAAGAAATGTAGGATTATCATTGAGATCTTTTAGGGAATAGTTTTGTACCAATTTCAGTTATGCCGATTTTTTAATAGTTTTATTTCTTTTTATTTACTTTTTTCGCAGGAACTAATAATTCAAATAATTTTGAAATTTTGACTGATATACATCACGCAAATCTTGATGTGATGTTTTATGTGAACGAATTTGTCATACCCTTAAAAAAAATTTTACGTAATAAAATTGGGTTTAATGTAAAACATGGGCTTATACCTTAGACACCCATATGTGATTCAAAACGTGAAATTTTACACATTGAATAACGTATTAGCTGATTGAGTTTGGATATTTTTGTAATTAAAAGTTATTGTTCGTGTAGCCTGCATGAGTTAAAATAAATCAAATTAATCATAATTGTAATAACAGAGAATATTCTACTGGGATATTTTATTTTGTAAATGGTATTGTTTACAGGTATACTTATTTTTACTGACCCTGTTTTCTGCATGAACCTTGAACCACTTAGACTTATAATGCAGAGACAGGTCCAAAATAAAACAAGCAAATACTTTTTTCTTGTTTTCGCTTGCGAAAATAAAATACTTTTTACAGCAGTATTTTATCTCAAATATACTTATTTAAAAAGACTTAAAATTATGTAACCAAGTTATATTGACTTATAAGTATTTATCTTAGTTTATAATGGCTTTTTTGATACTTAACTCCCTTATAAGTTTTATTTTCCAATTAAATTGATTGAAAAAAAATTACTCAGCAGCAAATTATCAACAAAAATAATTCTCTGGAAAATACTCCATGGAAAACCTGAAACAGCAAATAGTACCTATCATTACAAGTATTAACTACCTATACAGAATGCAGGGCAAAAAATTTCCCTGGTCCAAGATAGAATAGTCGTCTCTATACAAGTTTCTATAAAGAACCAAATTTATAGATCAGGGGCCACCAAACTTTTTAGATTATCTACCCCAGAAATTTTATAATTATTTTCTATCAACCCCTTTTACCAAAAAATAATTAAAAAAAAGAAAGAAAGCTTTTTTAATGATCTATTTTGTTTTTTCGAATTCAAATTTTTACCTAAATCACTGAGAACGCATGTGCTTGATGATGCTTCGCTATATTAGTAAATTTTGACTTAAAATTTGTTAGTTTCAGTCTTAAATCGCCTCTCTGATTTATTAAAATAGAATAAACATATCTGAAGACCTATTCAACCATACCAGGTACAACTTGGGTAAGCATTTTAAAAGGAAAATGGTGCATTTAAAAGTTTAGGATATTATTTTATTAATTATTTATGAGTATTTTGATTATATTTGTTCAAAATGTACTCTCAGTTAAATTATTAATAAGCATCTTTGCTTAAAGGTTAACTAATAATACAATGACTTCATCATGTCGATATTTTCAACTTGAGCAGCAGATTCCATTCTTTGATGTTTATATTTTCAGTGTCTCCAAAGCGTAATTTAAAATTTAAGATTAATTTTTTTAAAAAAAATCTGCGATTGAATAGTATTAATGCATTTTCATTAATCGACCCCTTGCGACCCCCTTGATAATATCGAACCATAATTATACTATTTCAACCCCTACGTGACATTATAAATCACTTTATCATTCCCTAATGTAGATTGTACGTGTAGAATAAAATGTTATTAAATATTTTAGTGAATATTTTCATTGAATATATAAAAACTGTTCTTAAGTTAGATACTTTAAAATAATACATCACAACCATTAAACGGCAGCATTTGTTAATTTTATGTTAAAATTCACATTTCATTTTTCAAATGCTTTCATAGTTTCATTAAAACTTTAATAAGTAAATAGAGTGACAAAACGCATATTTTCCTTTCATATGACATATATTAAACTGAAGGATTATTCATAAAAGATTTAAACACAAAATTCATCATACGAAGTACTATCTTATTCCAAAATATATCTGTGTTCTAATTTCTAAAGCCCTTATCTTTATTAGAATTGCACTTGAACAAATGCTATTTCACCTAAGATCTCAAACAAATTTTTTAAATAATTTCACTTGGGAAAAAAAGAATAAAAAATGCATTACAATCGAAAAAAATTCTTTAAATTGCCATTCCACTTTATCATTTACCGTGTACAAATTACCCTTTTCTTTCTATAGAAAAAACATTTGTATCTTTTATTATCATTGGTGAAAATTTTTCAAAATGTAACGAGAGGCATCTAATAACTTAATTTGAATAGAACCATCACTTTCCCAGATGTTAACATTCGAAATGTGATGTTTCCCGCTCGTCTTTCGCTTGGGACCTCTTTTTTATTAGTTTGCTGTGCATGAATAAAAGGACAAATCGATATATCAATATTCACTCTACCGTTGTTGAATCGTTTTTCTTTCACTGTTTCAGCTATAATGACAATCAATTTATTTCATTTTTTTTTTACTATTTTTCGCCTTCGGTAAAGCCTCCAATGTCCCTGAACAATACGTTCATGTGCAAATTGTTGAAGAATCGATAGTAGAAAAGCCATTTTCTTTAGTAATGGTTTCTGTGACATTTAAGCGGCAATTTATCATTTTAACGAAATAACCTACTCTCAATGCATCGCAGAATATGAACTGAGCAATTTAAATGGGTGGATTACATATAGTTAAGAAGTGTTACTTAATGATTTAATGATTTATTCTAAAACTGTCATACTGCCAAATTATTTATATATGTGGTGCACTAAAAATTTAAAGCATTGAAATATNTTCCATAATGCGTAGAGTTACAAGGTATGTACGACTGGAACCTAATTACATCAATCTCTGTAAGTATTTAATGCGAGACCGAAGGTTTTCGCATTAAATACTTACAGAGATTGAACCATCCGGAGATTTGTCCACATCCGGAACCATCCGGAGATTTGTCCGCACCCCCTCCCTTGTGGAGTGGGGATGTGAACAGTTATAACCATCAGCCTAACTTTAAATAAATCTCTTTATATCGTATTATGGCTTTTTACTGCATTATTAAAGCTGAATACAACAATGATAACAGGGATGTAGCCCTGTTGTTATATATATATATATATATATATGATTAATATATTNTTTAAATAAAACTTTCGATCAATTATATATATATATATATATATTTAATTAATATAAATATTTCATTCCATATTTTAATCATTGGTTTATTTAGTTTCAGCTGAATTGCATACATTTGTATCGTTATGCATTTATTTGAGTTATCGTTATGCAAATTATGTTGTAAGTTTTTCATCAGTTTGTCAATTAGTCACCATGATCAATATCTTTCTTGCTTCAAGGTTGTTTACAAGAGAGGTTTTTCATAATGGTTTTCTGTAAATAAAATATATTGAAAAGTTATTAGATTCTATGGCATAAAGACTTATTTATAGTGTGAATATAAATAATTATTGTAGAAAACAAAAATTTTAAATTTTAAATGTCAAATTGCCTTTTGTTTAGAAACATAAAGATATTCCGCAACATAAAGAAATGGAAAACATTACGAAATATTCCGCATCTCTCATTAATTACTTCTTTGAAAATTAAAGTTCTTTCCTCTCGCTATTTTTTAATTATAAGGTTCTAATTAAATAAAGGTCAGTCAACAAAACAATTTTAAAAATTTTACTATTAAACTAAAGCTCAATGGCGCGATGAACCAATGTGCACATTGCAGTTTTCTTGACCTTGCGCTCTGGAGTGATGGGGCATATGTTCTAGTTAGGTTGGTTATTCGAACTTGGAACAACCGATGTTTAGTCTCAAAGCATATTTGGTAATCTTTTTATCTACACACTGAAGGCATGAAAAGCTGAGTGAACTTTGCCAGATCGGAGGATAGAACCCGAGACCTATAGCACGGAAGCGCTACCATTCGGTCTATTGATCAGACAAAAAAAAAAAAATTGGTTGAATTTGAAACAAACAAGTGTTAAAAAAATTAGATGGATATGATTATTTGAACTTATACTATTATATTTCTCATGCACGGGATATTTTTATTTATAATCCTCATGCACGGGAATTGTATAGCTAACGAAAAAAAAAAAATCAGATATTTTTATACATCCTCAAATAATAATGGATTCATTGACAGTTTTATTGTTTTGTCTGGCATAAAACTGAAATAGTAACAGTAAAATAGTGAACAGTGATAATCGTAACAAATATATGAACTGATTTTATGGGAAAGGTGGAAAATATATTGAAGTTTTTTTTTTTGAGAGCGAAATGTTAAACAATATTATTCTGGTATATTATTACAAAAAGTGAACAATAATAATGATAACAGCTAGAAAATTTATTAAAACTTGACATTGACACTCACTGTAATTTAATTAAATTAGTAATAAAAAATTTTTGCTTTGAAAAATATTAAAAATCTAGCACAAATTTAATTTACCCCATCTTCTTCTTTGACTATCGTTTCCGGTGTGCATTTTAACCCTTCCTTGCACGGACATCCAAAAAGGTTTTTCTCACCATATTTTGTCTTCGCTGGTTCCATTATGCAGTGGTCACCTTAAAAATCAATAAAAGGAACGTGAATTTTACAGTTCATTAATAAACTACAAGAAAAGTAATGACAATTTTAAAAAAATTCATGTCCATTTCTAGCCTCATAAAAAGAATTTATTTCCGTTATTTATTTGAGTGCCAGACAAACCATGAACAATATTTTCCTCCCAGCTGAGATATTATCGAGTTTTCTTAAAAAAAATAACATTTCTTTGTTCCCCTTACTCTAGGGGTGCACAACCTGCGGCCCGCGGACCAAATGCGGCCCGCCAACCCTCAATGTGCGGCCCGCTACCGCAATCTGAACAAAATGAAAAAAAAATAATTAAATTTTTTTTAAATAAAAAAAAATTCGGAAATTTGAAATTTACGCATTTAAGTTTTTGACGCACCCAATTTCATTCAATGTAGTTTTCGATCGCTTTTTTTCGATGGTTACCTCTACAGATTTAGGCATAGTTTTGAAAATACCATTATTTTGAACACATCATTATTACGATATACGAATTTCTAATTTTAGTTATTACTTTTGACTCTCTTCGAGTGCTCNGAAGATGCCGGAATTGTTACTCATTTAGCGTTACCCAGTGGGCACCTGTGAACCAAAGTCACGGAGGCGAGCAACGTTACCCACGCCATACTGCCACAAACCCGTTCATAGGGTGGGCCACATTCACTCATTCACACAACAGAAGACAACACAGAGAGAGAAGCATCCGTGCCCAGAGCTGGATTCGAACCCGCGACCATTGGCACCGCAGTCAGACACGCTAACAACTCGGCCACCTGGCCGGCATAGTTCATTAATATAATGAAAGTAATGACGATTAAAAAAAATCATATTCATTTCTAGTCTGATAAAAATAATTTATTTCCGTTATTTGTTTGAGTGTCAGACAAACCATGAACATTATTTTCCTCCCAGCTGGGATGTTAACAAGTTTTCTTAAAAAATAACATTCCTCTTACAGGGTGGCCACCTTGAAAGATTAGCAAACGAAATTTGTATTTCATGAGTTCATTAAAAGAATAACATCTCACTTGTTCTATTTAACAGTGGTTACCTTGAAAGTTACGAAAAAGAAGCTTGCATTTTGAAGTTCATAAAAAAAAACTATAATAAAAGCACTGAGGGTGAAATATATTTTAGTCCACTTCTTGTCTAACAAGAAAATGTTCCTTCTACGTATTTATTTGAATGTCAGGCAAACCAGTTATATGTTTCACAAACTAGAATCATTATTAGTACATTCAAACAACAACTTTTTTCGCTGATAAAATTACTTTTTGTAGCAAATGTTATATTCATAAGAAAATCTTCCCTCCTTGTTGATTTGTTTCTTTCCCTCCCCGACTCTTCTCTACTATTTGTTGACTTATCTCTCTTATTTGCCTTTCTCTTATTTGCCTTTCTTTTTCGTTATTTAAACTTATTCTCTAAATGATAGAATCAATCTTCCGAAATGCTTAGCTTGGAGATTTTTATAGTGGCTTATTTAAAAAGCTCAATTTTAAATACTTTGTATATAAAACAAAATCCGACGTTAAGGAAAATAAAGTAAGAATGTAAAAAAAAAAAGTACGAAATGGATACTTCCTTCGTTTTTATTCATTTATTTTTAAATATTTCATGAGTTGTCATTTTATCGTCTTGTTATTATGTAAACTAGAAACTAACATCAGATGACGTTCACTTAATTATAAAAATTGTAAAAATGGACAATGAAAGCCTTTTTCTTCTATTATGAAAAAAATAAAAACACTGACAACCCTTCAATAACCTGTTTTTTGTCTTAAAAACTACAGACGTTAATCCTGAACACCCTGTATTTCTTTCGATTAATTATTATCTAAGAAAAACTATAAATATGAACACTGGTTACCCGTCATTTCATTGAAGTATTCACTACGTTAACATGACGTAGTGAATACTTCACTACGTCAATGTAGTATACACTACGTTAACTGTGAACATGACCACTTGTTACCTTTCATTCATTTTATTGTAATATTCACCATTTAATAAATACTATTAACATGAACACTACAAGCTCTCCACTTATTTCTTAATATAAAACTTGCAAACACATGCACTTTTGGAATAAAAACTACAAATATGAGCCCTCGTAATCCTTCGTTTATAGACTAAGTTAAATATCATGAACACTGAGCATTGCCTTCGCTGTTATTTACTTTTGGTATTTAATGAGCACTAGAAAATCTCCACTTACTTTTTATATTAAATCTGCAAACACATACACTTTCTTTTGGAATAAAAACTACAAATATGAGCCCTCGTAATCCTTCGTTTATAGACTAAGTTAACTATCATGAACACTGAGCATTGCTTTCGTTATTTATTTTTCGTATTTTAGTATGAAATTTACAAACTGATTACCGTTTACTCTGTAAAAAATGTAGTGTATTACCAATCCGAATCCTGTTGAAAAACTCTAAAAATTATGTGAATGATTGCTTTATTTCAAATTAATACCGTATCGAGTTTTCATACACGCTTTGGAGGACGTAGCTGAATCTTAATATCAATAATTGATAAAGCTTAAACTAAAATGAAAAGTTTTTACTCCATTCATGGTTGGCAATCGACCGCAAGATACATTGTTGTAGTTTTCGAATACTCCGAGTAATTTTCGAGAAATAAATATAAATTGTGAAGTTGTTTGTGTTAGAAGCGATAAAATCGATGACTTTACAAATAATGAGTTAATTTACAAAACTATTAACATTATATCTGAAGACATGAACATGAATGAATTGAATGAACATGAACATGAACATGAAATGAACATGAATGAACATGAATTTCGAGGATTTCGGACATCGAAGCTTAATTAGATTCAACTATCGGCCTCAGGTCAGAACCAACGGTAGAGCAACATCATAATTGATAATTTGTCAAGTAATTTCAATATTCTTCTCGGATATAGTTGATAAGCATTGATAAGCTATTCTTGGTCTATTAAATTCCAAATAAGTTTCATTACTCTTCACTGATTGATCAAAAAGTCTGATTGGCGTCGATTATTTGCCAAGTAAATTCAATTTTAATGTAGGATTGATTTGACGAACTACTCATGTAAACTGCTAAACAGGACGTCTAAGTTTTTAGTTGTTTAATAAAGGTAATTAAGATCTCATAAGATATACATAAATCTGCTAATGGTATTGAATAATTTCATAGCATTTAACTGAAGGCCGGGATAGCCTGGTCGTTTGGGCGCTGGGCCCATGTCCGATGGTTCGTGGTCCCGTGTAGTAAAGTGACTGATGCACGTTAAATCTGTCGCAGTCGCAAAAGTCCTCCATGTTCCCATAACAAATCATTACCTCTGGGGGTACTGGATTGGAGAATGATCGTTCTCTGATTCAGGTCAAAATTACGATCTGTGGATGAATGAATGACTGTATGAATGGGTCCACCCTATAAACGGGTGCGACGTATGGTGTGGCAGAAGTCGAATTCTTGGTCATAGATGGCGCCACTGAAAAACAAGAAACGCACACTCTGCCTTAAATTTGGTCAGTTTCACCCAGCAGGCTTACCCGTGTGGCAAGTGGCATTAGAACCAACTAACAAACCATGGCATTTAACATCTATTCACTTCAGTTTTTTTAGGTAAGCCTTTCTCGAATTCATATTAATAATTTCGTCCTTATAGAAATGGAAACTTAGTTACGAGATAATCACTTAGATTTACTTTTTTTTTATTTTTGATCTTTTCGAAAAATGGCTGTTAAAAGTGTAAGCATACACACGGTACTATAGTTATATACAGTAGTAGTAGTAAAAAACGTAATGGAGAATTGGGATGGGTTTTCTATCCTATTTCACAACAGAAATAGAAATAATTTTAATACTTTTGCTACCTACTACTACGGTAAAATGTCCCGAACTCATACTACTTTGTGCGATAAAATGGTTGCCAGACGCATTTTATGTTATTACTAAAATTGAATACATATTAAACTTTGAAAATATAGTGGATATCTCTTGAAAATGGTTAAAATTTAAATCAAAATACTTCAATGTGGGAAAAGCCTTGGGCAACACCTAGACGGTAAAAAAAACTTGATTACATATTTTTTAATACTAATTAAGTTGTAAGGATAGGAAGAAAAGATGAATATTTAAATGAGGCTGTGCTGCTCATTCGTCTTGGTTATGATTAAAGTTTATGTCTGTTGCACAAGATAATTCTGAAAATTCATTCAGCTAGTTGCCAAAGTTGGCTGGTATTAATTATTGTGTTATTTTTCAAAATACAATTTACCATCATCCTGTTTCAAAAAAATATGTATTTACATAAGCAAAAATGAAATTTTCCAAAGTATTTTATAGCGAATCCATTACTTTTTATATAATTTTTATTCTCCGAAGAATATTATAATGCGGCGTTTGATATTTTTCAGCCAAGAGGGCTCTCCTGCGACTTTTCTATATTGATTTTAATCTGTGTCGTTTTCTGGTATATATGCTGTCCCAAAGGTGTCATTGGCGCATGGAAGTATGGAAGGATATTTACAGCAGTTTGCGGAGTTAAGGCTTTAGGGATAATTTCCGCTGAATTGTCAGAGGAAATAACAGAGGAGCATTAAGGCGAATTTATTACCAATAAAGTTGTTTATCATCTCTTTAAATCGGAGACAACTGTATGGATTTATATATTTAGAACCAGCTAATGTGTCATTTTGCTATTTTTACACTTCAAATCTGCGATCCGTTTTACCCTTTTTACTGTATGGAATCTAATTTAAAGCGTAAAGCTGACAAAATATTTTGATTAAAAAGAGGCAGAGTATAAATAAGCAGAAGAGAGTTTAATAAATGAACGCATTACAGATATCCCCCAACCTAATTTGTAAAAATAATACTTATTAAAAATCAATCAAAGACAAAGTGCTCTCAAATGATTGGTAATGTTAGATTATTCTTGAATGACTCTATGGATGTAATCGAAGCGAACTCTTTCTGATTTAGCCCA